CGAGTGAGTAGTACGCCCTTGTTCGCTTCACGTAATCGTTTCTCCTGTTTGTATGATGAATCCAATTCTGTCCGCTCTGCAACAGTTGAAACGATAGACGTACACCCTGCCCCGCCTCCGATCCCACGAGTCCACAAGGAGAAGTGGGAACGCAAGCTCCCTTCCTGCTATGTCGTTGCCGCCTCCTCCGGGGCCAATTCCCTCAACCTCCCCCTGGAGATCGAGTCCACCGACAATGCAGTGAAGCTATCTCTCAAGGGCCTAGTCGACTGTGGCGCTACATCTGACTTCATCGATTCGGCCTACGTCCTTGAAAATCACCTCCCTGTTCGTCGCCTCACCCAACCTATCCCCGTTTACAACGTGGACGGCACGCCGAACGAGGCCGGTTCCATTTGCGAAGTTGCTGATGTGGTTCTCCGTTACCAGGGCCACAGTGAACGCGTGCAGCTTGCTGTCACCTGTTTAGGCAAGCAGCAGCTCATTCTAGGGTACTCCTGGCTCCGGAAGCACAACCTGGAGATCAACTGGGATACCCAGGAGGTAAAGATGAGCCGTTGCCCTTCTGGTTGCTCCACCTGCCGGGAGGAACTTCGCGAAGAACGTCGATCTGCCAGAACCGCGGCCCGGGTGCTCTGCACCATCAGACAAGGTCCGGTTCCATCCATCTGCGCTGTCGACGTCGAGGACCACAAGGACGAAGAGATGCCGGAGCTTTCGCCAGACTCGGACAATTATGACCCTGAAGATGTCGAAGAAGATGACGACTCCTTGGAAGCCGGTGATAGGCTGGCTACCAGACGCGCTCTGCACCAGCTCTGTAAGGGCGTATTTTTGCGCTTTTTACAGAGTTTACTCTTGAACCACTCGGTGTATTGTGTCGCGGTTGACAGTGTTGCGCTCAGTAGGACTTAAGGGTCTACTGCCCAGTTGACAACTGTGGATAGTGTCGACGATAGCAAGGCAGCCAGACCACTACTGTGGAATTGGTCTTATGAGTCTATACCAGGCTCAGGGCTATTAGTGACGAACACTTGGACCGCGACAATTCCCCAAAAAGGGATCTTTGTTGCGGCGACTTCTCAAAAAGGGTCATTCTCTGCAGATGGGAACTTGGGCTGAAGGGCTGAGCAATGTGCGACGTTCTCAATAATACAACTACGACTGGACAGGACTTGGCGTTATGAGATTGAACCAATCTTGTCGCGGCAACTCCCGGTTTTGAGTTGGACGTTTCCTCAGATCATGCCACGGCGACGACTTGTCACATGTCAGGATCCATTCGATCACGGGACATTGTGGACACGTTGCGGTGACACTTCCAAGTGTCACGGCGAGTTGCGTCCATACCCAAACACACTAAAATCGACACGGGCTAGATCCGTGAACCGAGCCATGTGGGGAACGACTGGCGTGCCTAGGACCATACGGCTTCTTGGGGCACCCACGTTGGCCTCACTTGCCAAGACATACCCATCGGCCAATCCAACATGTTGTATTCCAAAAGTATGACGCGGTGGGTTGACCCACATCAAAAGTATCATATGGACTATGGGGTGGGGTCCTGATCACTCAGGACCTGTCCGATTGTCCAACTTTTCATTACTCTAAAAGGCAACCGATCTTAGATAGCGTAGCTACTATGCAGTTGTACAGGACTTTACTAAGCATCGTCGTAGACAGTATAAGTAGCACGTTGTTTCTTTGTATTAGAAAGCTTTCCCCCGGACTGTGAATCACTCTCATATCAGATTGTTTTGTACAATTTGCGTGTCGCGTGATTCCACCCTAAGAAGTTCTGCCACCCCTGCCCGGTCGCGACGAGTTGCTCCCTGAGCACTTGTAGCTACTGTGATTTGAGTTCAAGTTTTGAGATACCAGAAAAGTCGGATTCGCCGCATCTGGTTTAGTCATGGCATTTAGTGTCGTCGCCTTCGGGCTTTGTTGAGATTGTTCCACACCTCTAGCTTGGCAGTGCGTCGACTAGTTGTGCTCGGGTTGTTTTGGTCAGTTGGCAGTGCGTCGACTTGAGAACTTTGGTTCCACACTTCTTGCTTGGCAGTGCGTCGACAAGTTGTGCTCGGGTTTTGGACATTGGATATTGGCTGTTAGTTGGCAGTGCATCGATGCGGCATTTTGGTTTACTAGTTGGCAGTGCGTCGGCTCAGTACTTTTGGTTGTGTCAGTTGGCAGTGCGTCAACTCAGTATATTGGTTGTATCGGTTGGCAGTGCGTCGACTTGATATTTGGGCTTTGCGTCGCCATCTGGACGCTGTCGCTACAAGGGATCTTAATACTTCGTATTAAGCTCTGACTTGTTATATTGTTGGTTGTGGTTGGATTAGTGTTGGTTGTGTCCGTATAGAAGATATTGGTTGAGACACCTCTGTTTGCTATATATAAATTCTTGTCGTCGACTTCGTCTTCCGTGACTATTGGATCTGCGTCTATTGAGAGTTGTGATACTGGTGTTCTGTCCACCCCGAAGCCCTCGCATCTTTCACACACTGAGAAGCTGATTACGAGGAGTGTGAACGTGTTTATATTTGGGTTTACTTTCATAGTAGATTCACTTGTGAGCGCGCCCTCAGCATTTCAGCGGGGGGTGCCTGCAGGGGTGCCAGTGGGGGTGCAGGTAGAGTTGCAGGCAGTGAGTTATGGCAAGAATGTATGCAGTCCCAGTAGCAAAAGCAATCATGTATGTTTCTGCAGTTTGTCTTGCGAGTATCCAAGCTCTAAGTGGAAAGAATTTTGTATATGAAATCTGAATTCATGCTCAATCTCTGGCTATTGTGAGACAACTTATTAGTGAGTTAGTTTATCCTCTTATATACAACCCAGGAATGAATTGAGGGCATGTCAAATCCGCTATGTTCCATCTGTTCATGTTGCAGCTTGAGAAAATCATTTGCAAAGCATCACAGAACTTCTGATTTTCAATGAGTCCCAGTCAGGAAGTGAGACATTCAATGTGTACTTGACATGTGGTACAATGTGCCGCAGGGTAAGATTACACTGTGCTAACAGTGTGAACAATTTACTAATAGCGATGTATGTAGAATGAGCGCACCAAAAAATCAATGAGATGACAGTGGACCCAGTGCAGCCAACCTACCCACCCTGCCGGTCAACACATGAACAAATCATAACTTGTATTTGACCCTACATAGACAGATTATACAGGTGCTGTTGCATGTTTTCAACATCCCAGGCTCTGCTAAAGCACAAGGGAATCAAATATCTTTAGCTGCAGACCATACCAAGAAACCCCTGCCAAATTGAAGGATAATTATGTGACATTCTATGGCCATGGCCAGAATAGATACATCAAAATTTGATATAATGCACCCCTGCCCCTGCAGTAGACCTTGCAGTGGGCCCCGCATCTGACCCCTGCATCAGTTTCAATGTCTTCCTATAAATTCCCAGTTGGCCTGTTGCCCTGCTCACCTCTACAAGATCTTCAATGAACAAAAATGGATTATAACAGACCAACCCTGGGGCAGCCCCTGCAGCACCCCCCCGCAGCACCCCCTGGGGCAGCCCCCGCATCACCCCCCACGGCACCCCCCACAGCACCCCCCGTGGCACCCCCCGCGGCAGGCCCTGCGGCAGGCCCTGCCAAATGATGGGATCAAGTGTGTCACCAATCCCATTGTGCAGGGTGCATTTTGGTTTTTCTAAGCTCAAGTTCATGTTTAACTAGCCTATTTACCTATGGAAATTATACTGGGATGATTTGGGGAGTCTTCCATTTTTTTGGCGGAAAATCACGTGATTTTGCGCCCATTGTCTGCCACAGCATGCAATGTATCAAGCAGCATTTCCAAAATCATGCCAAATGCTGCAAAAAAGGCGCCCAAAAAGTCACGTGATAATGCGCCCACTGCCCACCATGGTGTGCGGGGGGGTGGTAGTGACCCCGCCAATGATGCCGCCAACCCCTGCCAGCATTTTGGTAATATTTTGTGCAGCGCATCACGTGATTTTTTTATCCCGCCATCCCGCCCATGCAGCGCGTCATGTGATTGGATTTTTTTTTCCCGCCCAGCTACCCGCTCTTATGGACAAGTCACATGCTACATGCACCCCCCCTCCTCCTGACCCCCGCATATGCCCCCGCTACTAAATCGACTAAATGCCCCCCCACCCCCCGCCAGGGGGTACCTACTGGGTACCCTCAGCAAGACGTCTGAGGGTACCCAGTAGGTACCCCGTGGGGGGAGAACCGCGTGATGGCGGTGGTAACTGAGGTGGAGCTGAAGCTGGGTTTATTCAATTACAATCTCTCGCTTGTCTTTCCGAGAGACACTCCCCTGGCACTGGCTCGCTCGCATATCGAGGACTACAAGTCAGGCCGGCGGAAGTTCGACTCTGATATTGCGCAGGGCGAGTATCAATACAATCCTTTTGTTGTCGATGTTTTCTGCATGGCGTACTGCATGGGTCAAGGAATCCAGGTACGTGTGTTATTGTCCGGCTCATTCCTTCTGATTCCAGCTCTGCTCAGCATCTGGCACCCATCGCACCGATCCTCCCACCGATCATTGACGGCATGATACACTGGCATGTGCCATCTAGATTGACTGCAGAAGGGGCCCTATCTCTTCTCTGCGATCTCAGAGCGGTGTACCATTCTGCCATAGCGCATCTGGCTGCGCCTACACTCGGAGGGATGGGTTGCGGATATCCATCCTTGATGGGTGGCGACCGCTGGAAGGGACTCTCTGAAGGGTTCATCTATCGCTGGAAACATCTACGTACACCGCTGATTCCGCATCGTATCTGCCTCCTTTGCTCGTTCGAGCCTATTTGTACGATTGCGCAATCACTTCGCCTCGCAGTAAATCGTCTCTCAAGCCGGCCATCAGCCGGCCATATATCTCTGTTTCAACCGTGGACATTGGACAACTTATGAGAGTAGCCGTCTCGTAGTCACGGGATCGTCACGAGGCATCACGAGACTATTACGTGCTCATAATCTGTCTGGACGTTCTTGCGGACAACCAGCATGAGCCAGGACCAGCCTCTTGTGATTCCCTTTTCACTGGACGAATACGGACCCGCGCAGCCTCTTACCGAAGAGTTCGAGTTTTCAAAACGACTACAATTCTGGGATGGGCCCATTCGCGCGTTTCTATCAGAGCGGGGTTATACCCTGAACAGGTTCGAGATATTTGGAGACAAGGGATCAACCTTCGGCTTTATGTACCCCGCACTCGAATTCTCTCCATCTGCAGCTCCGAAAGATCCTCGCTACGCGTTTGTCGATACACCTACAAGTTTTGTTTCCTTAACCTCAAAACCATTCAAGTATCACATCTATGTGGGTCCATGCTTCGTTTTCGAGCCTGCTGAACACTGAGCCTCTCACAGGGAAAGGTGGCGTTCGCTCAGGAAACTTCGCATCCGGAGAAACACATCGCCGTCAAGCTCATTAGGAATGACAGTCCCGAGTATCAAATCATGAAAACATTACTGGAGGACGCTGACGGGAGATTCATTCGTGGCTTAGTTCCGGTTCTTGATCTTTTTCCGTTCTGTGGCCATTGGCTGGCAGTCACCCCTCGGTACGTCAGACTTACTTCGTGTTTCTAGGTGACTAATGGGGGTCTGCGTAGATGGGGCGATGATGCAAGGGCGCCCTGGCCATCGACTATCGGCCAGGCACTTGATCTGCTCGAAGACGCCCTTTCTGGCTTGGCGTACTTGCACGAACGGAGAATCGTTCACAGGGTACTGAATCATCTCGTCCTTACCTTCTACCTTTGTGTTGACATAAGGCAGGACATCTCTTTCAGTAATATGCTCACAAACCACATTCCGTCCCAGCGATTCAGCGACGTGTCCGATGCAATGCGCAGTCGTCTTCGGAATCAAAGGGTGTTGACACTGGGCTTATTCGATTACAATCTGTCGTTGGTCTTTCCCCGGGATACTCCGCTAGAACTGGCACGTTCAAGTTACGAAGACTATTTTCTGGGTGCATGGAAGCCGCATCTCGACGTCGGTCATGGAGAATATCAGTACAATCCTTTTGCTGTCGATGTTCTCGGTGTCGGATACATCATTGGCAGAGGATTCCAGGTATGTCAGCCTCCTGCTATGGCCTAGACTGACTTTTTGCAGCACATGACGCCAGTTGCTCCCATCCTCGCACCTGTCATTGATGGTCTGGTCCATTGGCACCCGCCATCGAGGCTCACAGCTGCGGCAGCGCTTGATCTCCTCCGCACGTTGAAGGCAGAATATGGCCCTGGAATCGTCAATCTCGCTGCGCCCACATTTCAGTCGATGGGATATGATGAGCTTCCTCTACTCGAAGAATTTGATAGATGGAAAGGCCTTCCCGAGGAGTTTATCGCCCGATGGAAACATCTGCGCACCCCTCCCGTTCCGTTCCACAGACGTCTTCTCCACTTCCTTTGCTCATACGAACCCGTTTCTATCGTTGTTCGCCAACTCCGACGCTTGGTTGATGCTTCTTGTAGCCGTACTTATGTTTCTCTGTCTACCGATGACATCTGTGAACCGCAGCTATGACGTTTCAATTCGAGATATCGTTTCGCACCGGCTGACCCACGTCTCTCCTACAACAACCGGGGCAGCTGACGCCTCCCAGTCTGCCACCATCTTGCGTTCGAGGGACCCATGGGATGATATGGACCTTTCTGTCTCTCTAGTTTTCGATCGAGTATCACTGCGAGTGACAAGTAGTTAGTACGTGCCACTTGGATCATATGAATGGAAATTAGTCGTCAGACTCAGCGTAGATCTGCATATAGTCACTACACACTCGTGGCACATAGGGCCATTGGTCTGGTCTCAAGTGCCCTCGAGCCCCAATCCGGAGGCCAGGGCAAAACGTTCTCCACATCCATGTTCTATTTGCAGTGATAAAGAAAAGCAAACTATGCCTTTCTAGAGGAGCAGAAAAAAGGACATCATGACCAAGTACTATTATTGAGTGCGAGTGGATCGTGACATGAACTAATCGAGGGGCTCCAGGAGCTCCTTGGGCGTGTTTGTGGCATCATCGCATCGGATATGAGCAGTCCACAACTGTCCGAATGACATGCTATACATATATACAGTGCAAGTAGATAAGTTAGTGTTTTCACCAGAACGCACACCAGCCCGCAAAGCACTGGCACAGATTCTCCAGCGACATCGCCTGCTGGATGAGCATCTGCACCTGGTCCGGCACCGACAGCGCGACCTCCTCGTTGAAATCGCGGCCCGTCAGCTTGTGCTGCACGCGGTTGAACACCTGCAGCGCCTGCTTGTTGCGCACCTCCTGCTCGCCCGTCTCGTTAAAAATGTCGTTTTCGTTCGTCCGCAGGTGCCGCGTGATCCCTTGCGGTCGCGCGGACACCCAATCCAGGTTCCCCGGTCGGCCAGCAGACGCTCCCGGTTCTGGTTAACAGATCCCATTGATCAGCAAGATAGACAAAGGGAAAAAGACAGCCAGCACGCACCATTCACCGCCTCCGCTTGCATCAACCGCCAGTTGATCAGCGGGTCGTACACAAACGCCTCCAGCACAGCCATCAACGACTCCTTGTTCTCTCTCAGCACGCGCATCGAAATCTCGCACGTCCGCCTAAACGAGCCTTCGATCCCGCTGACCTCCATCGCATGCGTCAGCATGCGCGTCAGCCGGAACGGGATCTTCTCCGGGAACTTGTCGCGGTGCATCGCGACCTCGAAACAGTCCCCGAAATCGATGTGCGCGACCTTGCCTGTCGGCCGCTCAAGCATGATGTTCGACGGGTGTCGGTCGCCCAGCCCGAGAATGTGCCCCGCCATGCTCGTCACCGCGAGAGAGCGCGTGTAGCATGCCCGCCGCTCGAGCCAGTGCTCCGAGTTGGCGCTCTTCAGCCAGAGGATCTTGTACAGGTCCTGGCCCGAGGTGTTGTCCATCGCATACTCGAACACTTCGATCTTGTTCAGCAGCGGCAGGTCTTCGTAGTCGGGAGCCATCTGATAGAAAGCGAATCAGTCAATCGCGTGCGTAGCAGGCTACCAGCAACTACGCTCACCTGCAGCATCAACCGATACTCGATATTCAGCAACAGCTTGATCGAGTTCCTGTAGTCCCGGACGAGCTCATGCAACGTGTCGCTCTCCTTGATGACACCAATAAGCCCCACGTTCGGCGCGAGCGGGATCACAGCATAGCGATGCACGTTGAGCTGTCGCTTGAAACTGTCCGTGTCGACCGAGAGCACCGTGTTCACCAGCGTGAAGAACTGCATCACCCGTTCGTCCTGCCGCAGATCCTCGTGGCCCTTGAGGATATAGTGGTAGTCGACGCCGTCGCTGCCCGTCAGATGCATTCTCCGCGGCCGTTGCTTCGAGTTGATCACAGTCAGGCGAGGTGCGAAGCTCGAGATGTAGACAATCTCTCGTCCGCTTTGATAGGTTCCTAGGATGTGTGTGTCAGTATTCAATCCCAAACGGGCGTAGCAGTAGACTCACCGGGAACAGCCAGATCCAGGTTCTTCGCCTGGAGCAGTTCTGGCGACACATACTGCAAGTCCAACGCCGTCAGCTGCGGCAGCTGCTTCTCGATCTTGTGGAACACAGCCAGGTAGATGCCCCATGCATTGTCGAGCTCCCGAGTCTCACCAAATTGACGATATCGTCTGCATGCATCCCGAGCATGCCTCAGCTCCGTCCCGAATACCTGGGCAAAAGACGTCTCGCGAACAGTTTGCGGTCCCTGTTGGTTTGAACAGAGAATCTTAGCTCGCGCTTGCCGAAGAAGAAAGGGGAGAAAACCACTGACAGCGTCCAGAATCTGGTGCAACGGCTCCAGAATCGCGAGCATCCCCGCTGGATTCATGAGCGTGTAGTACATTCGCGAGGCCTCCTCCAGCCCCTCATGCCATAGCTCATGCCACAAGATGGCCACGCGGATCAGCTCGCGACTGACCACACTCGCCTGCTCGACGATCTTCGAGCTGTGTTCGCCCATGCGGTCCATGATCGCCAGCGCCGCATTCTTCCGCGACTCGCTCGGCGACTTGGACGCCACCGTCAACGGGTAGATCAGCGCCTGCGGGTGGTGTTTGCCCACTTCCGTCAGCAGGGCGTTGATGTTCCTCCGGATGCTCGCGTGCGGGGTCTGGATCCGCGCGATGATCTGCGGAATTACGGGCAACCACGTGTCGATCTTGACCATCGAGAACCCAGACGCGATCGAGTGCGAGATATCCTCGTGCGCCCCGTACTTGAACCAAAGCGTCAATAACCGCAGGGTGTCTTGCAGTGCGTCTTCGCTGCGCAGTGCAATGGACCGGAAGAACCCGTCCACGGATTGCACCACGTGCGATGCGAGTCGCTCAGTTGATATGTCACGCGTCCTGCCTTCGACCTGGGCATTGTCCATTTGACTGACGACGTTGACTAGTAAAGACGTCAGAGAAATGTCTCAATAATCCAAGAGACCCACAGTTGGCCATCGCCCAGGTGTGCCATGCCTTGTACCAGCACTTGTCGTAATTGGTCGCATAGAAATACGACTGCAGAACATCCTTCAAGCCGTTCGGTTCCTTCCAAAACAAATCAGTCATCACCGAAACGAAAAACAACAAAGGCAACAAACCCGGTACCAGTTCTCGTCCAATGCAACCTGCCATTCACCCTGCTTGAAGTAACACCTCGCAAGCAGCCTGCTCAGCTCGTTCAACCGCTGTTTGGGCATCCCCACACTGTTCCGATGCGCTTGATCCTGCGACTCGACATCAAAGTCCTTCGCGAGGCTGACTGTGAACTGCCGAAGCTCCGCAAGGCACGTTTCCCGGGATCCTTGCGCCCACATATACTTGAGCTGTGCATAGACAACGTTCGGGGGTGCTTGTGTGTGCTGATGGGGATACTCGAGGATCTGGACCAGAAATCACTGTCAGTTACCGTATCTCGGCGGAAAATGACGGCGAACCCTGGTGCTCTCCGGCGATAGCAAAGAGCTGATCGTCTTCTCCGCCAACGCCATTCGATCCGACTTGCGGCACAGGTTGGCGAATTTGATGAAAGCCGTGGGGTCGTCTTCGGGGCTCAGGATGAGCGTGCGAACTTGCAAGATCCGCTGCCACACTTCGACATCGGGTTGGCAACCCTGCAGCCGCTTCATCCAGGTGCTGCGCATGGTCTGGCGTCGCTCGGGTTGGTCCGAGCATTGCTTGTACTGGATGACCTCCTCGAGCTCTGAAAGCATCTGTGCTCGGACCATGACACTGAAACGCGTTCGGCACAGAAACAGAGACGCTGCAAACAGCACTCACTTGTAATACCGCGCATAAGCATTCCCCGCAAACGAAGTCAGTTCCGGATGCAACAATTCTCTCGCTTTGCCGATATGGCTCTGCGCCTTGTGGAACTGATTGTGATGCACCGACAAGATCGCCCGGTAGAAGAACCGATCCGGCGAATCTGAGCGCATCGTAGCGATGTAGGCGTCCATCGAGTCCCATTCGTTCAGGGACCAAGCAGCCGCAGCCGCCATCGGCGCGATAGCCCTTCGCTCCTCGTGGTTCGCATGTGGCCATCTTTCATCAACCTCGGCCGCCAGGTGTTCCCATTCTCCCAGCGCATGCAGACACCGCATCCTTCCAATCTGCACATCGATCGAATTGGGATCCGATTCGGCCTTTTCGTCGTACACCGTCAACGCCTCCTGCCACCGACCAAGTCGCTCGTACCACTCCTCGGTGTTGGTGACGTCATACTGCTCGCGTGCGGTCAACAACGCGCCGGACGCCGAGTCGTGCTGTTGCAAACGAGTGTTGATGGAGATAAGCGACTCGAGGATGGCGGGCGACGGATTGCTGAAGAACTCGAGCTCTTTATAATGCAGTGCCTTGGCATAGGCGAGGAACTTCATCGAGTACTCGCCCAGCATGCTGTGGTCGATCGGAAGTGGCTTTTCTTCGTGTTCCATAAATTCACAGAGGTCGAGCAGTCGACGGATGACTTCGGAGGGTGCAAAGGGCGAGGTAATAGCAATCTCAATCGCGCGAACGAGATGGTCCTGCGAAATAGGTTTAATATTCGTCTTACGACACGATGAACAGCCGGGCGCACCTGATACTGCTCATACAATTCGCTCCAACAGCTGTAGAACGCCGGGTTGAACAACTCCTTTTCCAGCACCGTATTCGTCTCGACAAGATTCACGCAAGCTCTCAAGGCATGGGAGGGCGACTCTTTAATCAGCTCGACACCAAGTCGATGGATCCAGTCGATCCAGTCTTGGCGAGCTGTGATCTGGGCCGTCTCCCAAGCTTGTTTCAGATGCACTTGGTTGACAGCGAGCTTTGCTGGCTCGGCCACAGCGAATTCCGAAACCTTAGGCTCGTTGATCCTGGTAAAGGAAAAGGAATCAGTTATCGACTGGTGCTTATCATCAGACCTACTGCGAAGTACTCGGTTCCTGTACCACTCGCTCGCCGTTCAATAGCTGGTTCACGGCCCGGTCGTAGACAGCATGTTGAATTGGGTGCCGGAGCAAACACTTGCGACAAGATAAGATAAGCCAAGCCCGTTCACGTGTCGCATGTAACACCACGCACCTTGTTTATTGTAGGCACAAAGATAACAAAATCGGAACCCAGTTGGGCGATCAGAGAGCACAACGTGTCCAAGACAGCAACTCTTAACTCGCTTGGTGCCCTTTCCAGGATACGCATCAAAGGATGCACGATACGGCTCGCATGGTCCGAAAAGTTGACCACCTTCGACAGCCTGTCGATGGTCACA